TGTGTGTGTGTGTGTGTGTGTGTGTGTGTGTGTGTGTGTGTGTGTGTGTGTGTATATATATATATATATATATATATATATATATATATATATATATACACACACACACACACACACACACACACACACACACACACTAAGACAAACACTCCATATTAAATCTAATATATAAAATCAAAAAATATACGAGTCATTTCATATAAATTAAAAATCTATACATCTAACTTTGAATAATAAAACAAATAGTGTTATATATAGTTGTCATACCTGACAAAAGTCATGTTGCCTATCCAAGTTTTAGGAACAACACATAATAAGTTGACTTTTAGTTGATGATTTGGTATCAGAAGTGGCTTATATGAAAGGCGAAGGCCTCTAAATGACGCTTATTTGACCAAAATAAAATATGATCATGTCTTGATTTTGAATGATTTGATTAGGACAGTAAGCTCTGACTCTGCTTAGACTAAAGTCTCATCACTGAACAGAAATAATGTCCATTATAGAATATAAAGTCCTGCTGCAGTGGAGACAGAATGAATATTGTGTCTGACTCCATCATGAGCTTGGGGGACTGCATCCATACATCTCTGCACTGACTCAAATCACTGATTAATAAAGTCATCTGGAATGGCAGAGAAAGCGTTCCTGCAGGACTCCCAGAGCTCATCAAGACTCTTTGGATTCATCTTCAATGCCTTCTCCATTTTACCCCAGACATGCTCAATAATGTTCATGTCTGATGACTGGGCTGGCCAATCCTGGAGCAGCTTGACCTTCTTTGCTTTCAGGAGCTTTGATGTGGAGGCTGAAGTATGAGCAGGAGCGCTATCCTGCTGGAGAATTGTCCCTCTCCTGTGGTTTGTAATGTAATGGGCAGCACAAATGTCTTGATACCTCCTCAGGCTGTTGATGTTGCAGATCTCTCGCACACCCCCATACTGAATGTAACCCCAAACCATGATTTACCCTTCACCAAACTTGACTGATTTCTCTTAGAATCTTGACTCCATGTGGGTTTCACTAGGTCTTCTGCAGTATTTGTGATGATTGGGATGCAGATCAACAGATGATTCATCAGGAAAAAATCTATCTTTTGCCACTTTTCCATATGATCTACTAGAAGTCACGTAATTATTTGCTCTTACAACTGGGATCGATGACAAGACTTTTGTTAGGTAGTGTGTGTGTGTGTGTGTGCATATATAAATTCAAATTTAATTGTTTGAAATTAGATCTAATAGCAATAGTTTCAGAAATGCCAATTAAACAAACTAAACCATCACATTAATTGTTAAACTGTACTATTATTTAAAGCATTACAGTAAAAATACATTAGTTTAAGGCATGGATGTCCAAACTCGGTCCTGGAGGGGCGATGCCCTGTAAAGTTTACTTCCAACCCCAATCAGACACACCTGGGCTAGCTAATCAAGCTCTTACTAGGCTTACTAGAAACATCCTTGCAGGTGTGTTGAGGCAAGTTGGAGCTAAAATTTGCAGGACACTGGCCTTCCAGGACTGAGTTTGGACACTCCTGGTGTAAGGCAACTGCAGTCACCTTTCTTAAATAAATCCTAACATGTCACCTAGCAACACCTAAAATACCTTAGCAACACTCTGAAAAGAAAAAGTCAACGTGAGAAGACAGTAAAGCCTAGCAACATGATGCCACATTTCCCACCTCTCAAATCTAAAAATCTATTTGGATGATAAATTGATCTGGAATGGAGGTTAATCTCACAGAATCTGCAGTGTGCTTCAGTTTCAAACAACCTGACTATGATGGACTGCTGAACCTGAACTTTGTTACGTGTGATTTATATCACTGCTTATTTGTGCTGTGCTTTAGCATTTGTTAGTGTGTCAGCATTTGGGACATTAAGTAATCTCATAAGTCACTCTGATTCGCATTCAATCAGTCAAAATCCCTTCTCCACCTCTTTATCTTTTCAATGAACTGACGTCATTATTTGCTCTCATTCTTATTTTCCCTCTCTCATTCACCCAACAGGGTTTTAAGGATATTTCTCTTGAGAGGTTCATGCACGGCGGGGCGAACGTAACTGGTTTCCAGTTGGTGGATTTCAGCAAACCGATGGTGATCAAACTAATGCAGCGCTGGAACAAACTAGACCAGAGGGAGTATCCGGGATCTGAAAGCCCACCCAGGGTAAACACAACCGCATTCAATCACCACATAATTAAATCCAAACACAAACACCAGAATGACAAACCGTAAGAATGAGTAGCATCCATTGAGAGAGTCATTTATTTGCACTGGTTTTATTTTAAGCTGTTGTTTTAGCATCTAATTCGCTAAATGAATCAGGCAAACATGCGTAAAGATTTGGGCTAAACGCTGTTGAGTACATTAGCAGGGTAATTCCTTATCTGCTCAAACAGCAAATAGCCAAAACTAGGTAGGGATTCCCATTCCGTAATCCTGTCAGACACATGTGGAAGAATTCCAGTCACAGATGTTTAGCCAATCAGACTGTGACATGGCATATTATTCATCAAGCTTTAGCCAATGAGATTCATGGAGCAGCTGCCCAGCAATATTTGAGTCAATTACACCATGACAGACTGCAGCCGGAGACATATTTGAACCTGCCTGTTGAGGAACGTGTGAAATGCAGCCAAAAGCGATGTCTCCATCCACATATTTTTATTCAAGTTTTAGTATGTCACAATAATACATAATGCAAATTAATAAACACCAAGATGTCCATAAGTTTTAAAAATAAATTAAGAAATATTCTGATAGGATAAAGTTTTATCTGATAAGCAAAAATACAGATACACAAACACATTTACTAAATAAACTCCAGCATGCACATCAAATAAATCATGTGATTTAGTTTGAACAGATCGTGATGATAAAAATGTGTGTGATTGGACAAAGCGTCAACATCCCTCTCTCTCTCTCTCTCTCTCATGGAGCAAATACGAAAGTAGGGATGCAACGATTATAAATTTTGGTTGTACGATTATAATCTAAGAAATAATCACGATTATTTGCATTCATTAATTTCAAAACCCCACTAGTTTAAAGCTAGTTTAATATTATTTAAATTTTTTAAGTCTTGTAGTTCAGACCCAACTAAATATTTGTTGTCGTTTTAATCGTTTAAGTTTGTTTGATTGAATATATAAAAATCTGTATTATTATCAATGCAGTTAATAGGTAAAATTGCTCATTCAATGTGTTTTTGGTCATTGTCAATATCAATGCACCAGCAAAAATAGAACCAGCGGTGAAACTAATCGCACTACTTTAATAAAGCACTGCTTCTCCGTGCAGTATGAAAGCTCTAATCTGTTAACATGAACGGCAAAAAAAAACACGCTCTGCCCACGCCTGCAGTGTGAAACAGGCTTGAGTCTTTCAGCACTCTCTCCGAAAACACTCGGTTGGTCTCAGCTGGCATTGGCCACGTGATCGCTCTTATCAGCGCTATTATTTGTAACTTTAAGTGGGTTTGCAAACCTGTGTACTTTCCATTGCTTTCCTCAAACTTTAGCCGTTTTAAGATACAAGATGTGCAGCATCTAAAACTACGGATACTGGAAGCCTGTGCTGGTATTTCTCCTGCCGTGTTGCTATCAGTGTTTAAAGAGTTGGAGAAGAGGGTTGCATTGATAATCCAACACAATGGGCAGCACTTTGAACACATTTTATAAGTATCATATTAATATTACCAACCATTCCCATTTTATTAAGGTGTATCCATATAAATGGCCCACCCTGTAGTACAAAACCAGTCACATGTGGTCAGAACACAAACAAGTTGCAATGAAGTATCAAGTGCTTCTTAAAGAAAAGCCCTTCTAAGCAAAATGCTAGCAGGACGCACGAACAAAAAAGGAGCGCTTGGCCACGCCTACTTGTAGCTTCATTTGCACTTTTCAGAAACATATGGGTGATGTCACGGATACTACATCCGTATCTTTTACAGTCTATGGATTGGACATCATCAGGGCCAGACGGAATCTGCGGACGTTTTTTTGCTATTTCTGCAGAGAATTTTGGTAAAAATCTGCGGATTTCTGCGGAATTATTTTGGGAGTATCCAGCGGAGTATCATAACTAAAACCTTAACATATAAAATAAAAAGTAACAAATTACTGAATAAAAACTGAATAAATTCTGATTTACACATTTACTCAATTAAATAAACAGAATTATAATGATGGGCTAAAAATCTGCAGAAATCCTGTGTGGGCCTAGACATCATTAATGGACAAACTAGCATTTTGAGTACATTGTAAAACATCTGAAATGTTGTTTTGCTTGTTCTAAAATGCTTCAGCTAAAGTCCATCATCACAGTGCTTCAGTATTATTATATTAGTATTCCCTCTAGAACTGTCTTGAGTATCTGTCTGCGCTCCCATAGAGCACCTCACGCCCCCAAAAGCCACCTCATTGCGTTCACTGTGTTTTGCCTTTATCTTGAGGCGCAACTCATTTATTATAGAAGAAAATAGTCCCACAGTGGCTTCTCTTACCTCAAAACTACATTTTTATTTTTGATATTTGCCACAAGGTTATAATGAAAAGACAGTTTTGTTCTCGTTGACTCATTGGGTAGAAACAATGCTTCATTCATAAATGATTTATCCAATATTCAAGCTTTGCATACAAATCTAATTCACATCTTTGTATGGAAACATAGCTACCGTTTAAATTGAAGTTAGCTATTCAAACAACAAATCCGCAGCCTTAAGAGGAACTGGTACCCAGAGACTGATGCTTATTTTTCCCAGAACAAACGCATTTAAAGAAAACCTTGCAAATGAGTGCAATAAAAAAACTTTCCGGGCACAAGTTGAAATAAATCAAATAATGAGCTCTGGAAGCACCACGCAAAAAGGGTTACAGTTCACCCTAACTGGAAAACAAAACAAATGTACTCATTAAGATGATCTTGTGCTGCATAAACTTCACCTCGTCCTCCTTTCCTCAGTTCAAGAACGTTGCTTTTGCCATCAGTTAATAATATAGGGCTCCTTCTCTACTCCCATTGATTGGCGCTTCCATCCTGCAGTCCCAGCCATAAATTATCTAGGGAACATCAGACCAATCTTTACGGGTTCATTAGAGCACACTTTACAAGCGAGAGCCTTGACTATCTCCATCTTTCGCTCGCTCTTGATTTTCCTCATTTCACTTGCCGACTCCCACTTTAATGATTGTAGTTTGTTTTTGTCTTTCCCTCAATGTTAATTGGATGTTATTATGCCTCTGCTACAACCATAAATCTTGATTTCCGCTGATCAAGTTCATTCATAAAGACTGGTGTCAGTGTGGACCCAGCCGCTGAGACTCCTTCGGTTTTATTGGACTGGATTTCCTCATGCAAATAGCCCAGCTTTTGTATTTGTTTATGGAAATAAGAAGAAATGAACATCCATTTTGATTATTTGAGGTTGAGCCTTTTTTTTTTTTTTTTTTACTTACTGCCGGTGGTACCTCATAAAGAGAAAAGCAATGAGATCCCGGCACTGTTTTCCCCAGCAATCTCTCTGAATCTTTACTGCTTTGTAGCAACAATCTGTACTGCTTTACAGCTAAATAGCTTTTCCAGTAACAAGTAGTGGCGTTGCTACATTGCAGTTTTATGTCACACTGCATTACGCGCACAGCCTTACAAGCCAGCAGGCAGTGGCAATAATCAATGCGTTCACCTAGAATGCCCCCTCTGTTGCATTTACATTTACTTTAGGTGCTAGGACAGCTTGACTGAGTATTATATTTGATATGGGATTGTAAACAGGAAGCACGGGTAATGTAGTGTGAATGAAATTAAGACGCAGCTTTCCTTTCACCTCTTCAGTATACATCATCATTGACGTATGATGGTGTACTAGTGATGGCGGAGGCATTTCGGAATCTGCGTAGACAGAAGATCGACATCTCTCGCAGAGGCAATGCTGGAGACTGCCTGGCCAACCCAGCTGCTCCTTGGAATCAGGGAATCGACATGGAACGAACTCTGAAACAGGTGAGAGCGGGGTGGAATTCTGTAAGACTGGTGAGAGTTGATCAGGCAATGTAACCCAGGTAAAAGTGGGTGGCAATCTGTATGACATGTTGGAGTGGGCGGGACTCTACACAACAGGTGGGAGTGGGCAGGACTGTGGGATTTTGCACAACCGATCGAAGTGGGAGGTACTAGGCACAACAAGTGGGAGTAGGATGGACTCTACATGACAGATGGGAGTGGGAGGGACTGGGATTCTGTATAGCAGATGGAGTGGGCGGTACTTTGCACAACAAGTGGAAGTAGGCAAAAATCTACATGACAGGTGGGTGTGGCCAGGACTGTGCAGGATAGGTTTTAGTGGGAGGGACTCTGCACAACAGGTGGGTGAGGGTGGGACTCTACACAACAGGTGGGTGAGGGTGGGACTCTACACAACAGGTGGGTGAGGGTGGGACTCTACACAACAGGTGGGTGAGGGTGGGACTCTACTAAACAGGTGGGAGTGAGATTTTACACCACAGGTGGGAGTAGGTGGAGTTCTACACAACAGGTGGGAGTGGGTGGGACTCTACACAACAGGTGGGAGTGTGTGGGACTCTACACTACAGGTGGGAGTGTGTGGGACTCTACACTACAGGTGGGAGTAGGTGGGATTCTACACAACAGGTGGGAGTGTGTGGGATTTTACACTCCAGTTAGGAGTAAGTGGAATTCTACATAACATGTGGGAGTAGGTGGGACTCTAAACAGGTGGGAGTGGGCTGAACTCTACACAACAGGTGGGAGTGGGTGGGACTCTACTAAACAGGTGGGAGTAGGTGGGATTCTACCCAACAGGTGCAAGTGGGCTAGACTCTAAACAAAGAAATGGGAATTAGCGGGACTCTACATGACAAGTGGGAGTGGGCAGACTGCGTCACAACTAGTGGGATTGGACGGAACTCTACAAAACAAGTGGGAGTGGGCAGGAGCCTAAACAACAAGTAGGAAGGACTCTACATGACAAGGGGGTGTGGGTGGGATACTACACAATAGGGAGTGGGTGGGGTTCTACATAACAGGTGGTACTCTGTGCAACAGGTGGTAGCAGGTGGGATACTGTACAGCAGGTGCTTGTATAACATGAGAACTGTTGTTTTGAGGGTGAACCAGATGAGAATTGATGGTATGCTGTGTGCCAGGTGATATTTGAAGGTATTCCATAAGCCAGGTGAGAGGGGTGGGAATTTGTGCATTTGGTGGGAGCCTGCATGACAAATCAGAATTGATAGTGCCGAGTCAAATAAGAGCTGATGTGATGCTGTGAGCCAGGTAAGAGTGGGCAAGACTTTGTAGAACGAGTAGAAGCCTGGGCAGGAGATGAAAGTTGAAGGAATGTCATCACCCAAGTGAAATAGGGTGGTATTCTGTAAAACAAGTGAGAGGGGGTGGAAATCCATACAACATTTGGAATTAGACAGGACTCTGAAGTGGGAGTGGATGGGAATCTGTATAAATGGTGGGATTGAATGAGAAGTTGAACCACAGGTGAGACGGGGTAGAATTTTGTGAAACTTGTTGGAGTTTGTAAGAATCTGTACCATTCAGTTGGGAGATGGGTGGGAATGGCTGGGGTTCTCTGTACGACTGGTCAGAGTGGGCGACTGGGGACTGTGTGAGACATTATGTGCAACTAGTGGGGATAAAAAGGACTGTAGGCAGCTCCAACGGGATGGCAGGGCACCATGTGAACTTGGATGAACTTGGTTGTGAACTTACAACATACAAGTTACGACACAAGCCAGAAGAGTTAATAGGGGTGGATAGGACTCTGTATGATAAGTGGGAGTGGATGAGACTATGTTGGGGTGTTAGTCTGTGCAACTGGTGGTAGCAGGTGGGTTACTGTACAGCAGGTAGGAGCTTGTATAACATGAGAATTGATGTTTTGAGGTGAACCAGATGCGAATTGATGGTATGAGGTGAACCAGATGAGAATTGATGGTATGCAGTGTGCCAGGTAATATGTAAAGGCATTCCATGAGTCAGGCGAGAGGGGTGGTACTATGTGCAATTGACAGGACTGGGTGGGACTCTGTTAAAAAAAAAAAAAAGGGGTGAAAGTGGGTGGAAGCCTTTATGACAAGTGAGAATTGATAGTGCTGAGGCAAATGAGAGCTGATGTGATGCTGTAAGCCAGGTAAGAGTGGGCAAGACTTTGTAGAACGAGTAGAAGTCTGGGCAGGAGTTGAAAGTTGAAGGTATGTCATCACTCAAGTGAAATAGGGATGGGATTCTGTAAAACAAGTGAGAGGGGGTGGAAATCCATACAACATTTGGGATTAGACAGGACTCTGGAGTGGAAGTGATGGGAATCAGTACAAACGGTGAAAGTGAATGGGAAGTTGAACCACAGGTGGGACAAGGTAGAATTTTGTGCTAGATGTAGGAGTTGTGGTAATGATGAGGGGGTTCTCTGTACGACTAGTCGAAGTGAGCAACTGGGGACTGCATGAGACACTGTGTGCAACTAGTGGGGATGAAAAGGACTATAGGCAGCTCCAATGGGATGGCAGGGCACTATCTGAAAGGTGAGAGCAGCAGTAAGACTTCATGATGCTGCCTGAATGCTGAGATTTGGTGGAAATGTTAAAATTGGTGAAGCTATAACAGGTCAGGCTTTGTGGGACACGGTCTGAAAAATTGAAGTAGGTCGGATTCATGACAGGTCAGGATGGGAGGGACAATGTACATCAGATGGGATGAGCTTGAATGGTAACACACGTAAAACTGTGTGGGTCACTGTACAAAAGGTGAGAGTGGGACATTGGGAAAGATACTTGGGGCAAAATGTTCAGCATGTTACAATAACTGTCTCAATAACTGTCAATAACAGACTCACCATGCTCACCAAATTGACATATATAATCTTACTAAGATTTTTTTTATGTGTGTGTGCATGTAAAGGTGAGAATCCAGGGTCTCACGGGAAATATCCAGTTTGATCATTATGGACGTCGAGTCAACTACACCATGGACGTCTTTGAGCTAAAGAGTAACGGCCCCCGCAAGGTCAGACACTAAACACAACACGCTTGCAACACACAAGCAAACATTTATACAGACACAAGTCGTAATTTTACCCAGAAGCTCAGAAACACACACAGGATTGATCACCCTATCGTCTATCATCTGCAGATCGGTTACTGGAACGACCTGGATAAATTGGTACTCGTCCAGAATGAGCTCTCTATGGGCAATGACTCCGCAATGGAGAACAGGACGGTTATCGTCACAACTATAATGGTAATGTACTCACAACCATCTACATACAGTCTGACACACATAGCGCCATCTAGAGTTGTACTTAAATAACTCTCACTTTCATTGCTCTCGATGAATGTACTGGTGAGAGAAACCAGGAAAGAATGCGAGCCAGTGAAAGAGAGAGAAAGAGAGCTGACTGTGCATCAGTTCATGTTTAGCGTGTTAAAATCATCAGTTTAACCACTGAAAAAAAGTTGATACGTTTGAGATTTGTGATTAACACTAGAACCACCAGAGGTTCTTGTATACCTAAAACTTTCAGTGTGGGTAAAATTTACACATGCACAAATAAAAAAAAAAAACACATATTAATTTGCTGTATTATGCCACTGTGTTACAGAGGTGTCTGGGGTCATGAAATGATAATGTCTAGTCATCAACAATATTCTGTTGTTTTAGTTCAAGACTTTTTATGCAGGTTAATCACTTTCAGAATGGAAGGCTATAAGCTAAAGTCTGCACTAACAAGGAGAGTTAGAAGCAAGAAATACACATTTGGGTAGGATTACATTATTATTATTACAATGCAATGTCATTAATAATATATTAAGATAACCCATGTTATTTAAATGACTAAACTAGACTATACACAATAATAAACAATAATTTCCCACACTGCATAAGATGTAGGGTGCAGTGGAAAAATTTAAGTGTAGACCTTCACCTAATTAATTATTCATTTGTTTACTAATTTACAGTATAAAAAGAGAACAACAATAACATTTGAACATTCGTTAGTCGGCTAAAACACCTAAATATGATCTTGTGTTGTGTCTCAGAGGGTTTGGATCACTGTCAGATGAACCCGTCAGATACAGAGGCGAACCCGAATGCATCACTTACTTTCACCACCATCAGCCTTTATGCCCTTTTGTGCTTCTAATACCCAATCAGCATTCACAAATTGCATTCTTCATGTAGAAGGATGGAAAACCAAAACAACATATGTAATGCAAAAGAGGAAAATAAACTACAAGTCAGGATACTATAACTAAAATTAGCTTTAAGGGCGTACTCGCACTATGTACAGCACGCATGTCCCCACTCTCGTCTTCCATGACGGCCCGCACTCACATTGTATTCGTGCCCGAGCACACTTACGTCATCGATGATGCGCTGTTCAGTAAGAAGCGCTCTCGCTCAGCACAGTGGAGATTTCTTTAGTTATATAGTTTTAGTTGTTTGATATACAGTGACACGCAGACAAATATTTCGCCGAACAGATCCGCCACTTTTGATGCTCATAAACAATCTTAAAGTCCTTGTGCTGCAGAAATTAAGAGGTTTGCTAAAGGTGCAGCTGTCGTGCAGTGAGGGGTTTGCGTCTTTAATAATCTACAACAGTTTGTGTTTATTGAACAGTAAGATTGATAAATACATATCAAACAGTCCCTTAAAAGTCACGTCTCGTCTTCAGTTTTGGGCTCAGCTGCACTTTGCACTCACACTACAAGCATACCATGTCAAAGCCCAAGTGAACCGCGCTCTGGCACACCTCTTCAGGCTGGCCAAGTGATCCATGCCTGAGCCCGATTCAGAGCACTCACACTTCTCAAACGATCCGGGAGACAGGCCTGAGGAGGGTTCGGATAGCATAGTGTGAGTGCGCCCTTAAGTTTAAACCAAAAGGTCTGTTTACTAAGCAGGTTTGAATCCTAAATTCACAGGGACAACATCCCAGAGTATCCTTAGAGAGGAAGGTGGCCAAAATGGCATTGAAGAATCTGATTCAACTACTAGTTCGAATAATCGAAGAATCCATATAACTACTAGTTCGAGCTCTAGATGAAATTGTTAGCTTCCAACCAAAGCCAGTCATTTTTTCTCACCGTTACACCCCATTCACACGGGGCGTCAGCGTCAACACTTCCCATTCACTTTGAATGGGTGATGTCAGGCGTTGCCGCACTGCATTGTGGATCCGTTGGCGCCGCTTCCGAAGCGTTGCTCGCTGCAGAAGTTGGGACAAGCTCAACTTTTCAAGCACCGATGGAAGCGTCAGCCAATCAGATCGCTGTATGCAAATACACCAGCTCAGACAGTGGCCTATTGCTGACTGAATTTCATTGGCTGACGCTTCTATGACAATCGCTTCAGCCCCAACTTCAAACACGCCTTCAGTCAAGCGATGACGCTGAAGCCTCGTGTGAATGGGCCGTTAGGAAGTGTTAGGTAGCGCAGAGAAGGCTTGAGTCCACATTTGTAAAGTAAAGACTTCACATCTTTATGGTCGGCGCAAAGTTTTAGAACATCAGGGCAATAATCCTTAAAGATATGCATCTTATGGCCATCATACAGCAGCTCACCCTTTTTGTGAGATTCAAGGATTACCAAGTCCTTCATTTAAAAGCTATGAAATCGCAGAATGACAGGTCAGGGTCTCTGCCCTGGTGCAGGTTTAGGTGTGAGGCTACTGTGAGCTCTGTGCAGTTCGGGTGGTAAAGGTTAACACCTGGGAACCAAGGACATTGACAAGAAGCTGAGGAAAAAAGTTATCAGTCACGGCCCCTCGATTGATTTGGGTAAGCCCACAATTCGAATATTTTGGCGCCGGCTGCGACTCTCAAGATTGAAGACTTTAGCTTTTAGCCACTCGTTGTCCTTCTGGAGCCTCGAACACGTAGCATCGAGGTGATCGAGCTGCTGACTAATCTCTGTAGCACCGGAATCAAGGTTTCCGATGCGAAGATTATGATCAGCCACCGTGGATTGAATGCTATCTAGTTTGGCCAAACTTTTAAAAGATGTTTTGAAGTCTTCAGCGATTGAGGCTCTAAGGTCGTCATGTAACGCACAAATCTCGGCTAACGTGAAGTTAGTATTCTGCAAAAGAGAGCTTTCTCCTTCTTTATTGAGCTCTCTGCCCCTTCCTTTTGACATTTCAAAAGCAAATTAAGTCACAGAACAGTAGATAAACGAACACTGTCAGATACCAACAAATTGATGTTAAAAGACAAAACGGAAAAGTTTTTTGGGAGCGGACCGGGCGCACGTCTATTCCTCAGAGCTCTCACAAATTGCATTCTTATACTACTTCAGTAAGTGAAGGGCACTGCCTAGTAACGTGTAAAATGAAAACATAAGCAGCCTATAAGTAGAGACATTATATTGACTCTATTTTGCGCTTGTTTTTGTAATTTTAGACCTTCCAATTCAGTTGCCAACGGGAGAAATAATAAACAGTTAAAAATGGTCAGTCTACTTGCTCTACAAACAAGCGTGTTCATGACTACACGTGAAAAGTTTAATAATATAAGAAGAAAATTTCTGTTTGTAAATGTTTATTTAATTGTAAATGTTTTATATTAGCAACGCAGTGGCGCAGTAGGTAGTGCTGTCGCCTCACAGCAAGAAGGTCGCTGGCTCGAACCTCGGCTCAGTTGGCGTTTCTGTGTAGAGTTTGCATGTTCTCCCTGCCTTCGCGTGAGTTTCCCCCGGGTGCTCCTGTTTCCCCCACAGTCCAAAGACATGCTGTACAGGTTGGGTATTTGGGTATTGGGTAGAATTGGGTAGGCTAAATTGTCCATAGTGTATGAGTGTATGTGTGTGGCTGTTTTCCAGAGATGGGTTGCAGCTGGAAGGGCATCCGCTGCGTAAAAACATGCTGGATAAGTTGTTGGTTCATTTCACTGTGGCGACCCCGGATTAATAAAGGGACTAAGCCGACAAGAAAATGAATGAATGAATTTCAGTTTGAGACCTAGTATGCGATTTCAGATGCAGCCAATCACTTGGAGGCTTGAATGCTTTATTAAAAGCTCTGTTATGTGCTATTGTAAAAAAAAAGTGATGGGTAAAAATTGACCCCATGGCGGTTCTAGTGTTAAATTTCGCATAAAAATACACCATGGTAGCCATCATTTCCAACAAATGGCCATAGTTCCAGCAGTCACTGTTAAGCCGATGTCCACTAGCAGACTCAAAACAGCCTGATTTTGGTCAGCCGTGTCACACCTACCAACAGTTTTTTGCAGATCTGTCAAACTCAACGATTAATAATGGATGAGATGACAGTCTGAACAACTGCCTGTGACATTTCCATCCTGTTCTGTCACGGATTGCCGAAATAAGACCAGGAGCCCCATGCCAGCAAATTATAACAGACTGAATTAAACTACAACAATGCACAAAACATACTGCTGTTCCCTCCCTGTCAGTTCTTTAGCCCGAGAACATTTGCATTTACATTAATGCATGTGATATATATACATTTTTATTTGCCCAAAGCAGCTTACATTGCATTCGTGCATATCTCGGGAATAGAAGCAGTGACCTTTCTGTAGTGTTTAAGCTAGAATTATGCCATCTCACACACTCACGAATCTGGCCGGTCACTTTTAAGGCCACGAGGGCCGCCTACTTACTGACTCGGATGATTTCAGACCCGCTAAAAGTTGCATTTGTGTCAAGGGAATTAACAATAAAAGTTGAGTCACTATCTGACATCTGATCCTCAAATAACTTGAAAATACACGAGTGGGACACCAACAAACATTTTCAGAAGCTTTGGCAATTTAAAATAGACACGCTTTAAGTGTTCATATTTTCTATATCAAGGATTTGATCATTCTGGTTTTTATATTTGTAAAAATGTGATGTTTTTATATTTATTTCCTAACTTTCTATTCTTCTATAACTTTATTGTCAATATTTAGTCATATTTGTGATTATTTCTATTTTCTATTTACCTTAAAGCACTATTAAAAAGATACAGAACATAGGATTATAATAAAATATGCATATTACTATTTGCATTAATATTCATGTTAAATACCAAATATCTTTATTCATTTTTTAAAATAATTTTAAAGCTCAACTCAAGTGTTCCCAAATCTTTCTGAATGGTTTCATGCACGTTGCCTTGTTAATAGTGTCCTATGAACATCTTTTGCATTCATTTTCTCCAGGTTTTTAATTTTTTTTCTAGAAAATATTTGAATATAGTTCAACTATAGTTGTTGGTGGATGAATACCTTCAA